GTCAAATTTCTTTTTGAACGCACTCTACTATATAGTCAAACAAAATAATGCGCTCAAAAAGAAATTTGACGACAATTTTAACGTTAAAACTGAAAAAAAAAAGAGATTCGACCAAATTTGCGTTCGATCAAATTCCGTTCGATAAATTTACCGTCGACGAAATTTCTTACGATCAAATTTCCGGATCCGGTTGTCTCTACCTCTACTCAAAATTAAGTTTCGCCTTTACTCTCCCGCCTACATGTTCTTAATTTGTATTTCCTTCCTATTAGACCAGTGGTTCTCAACCTTCCGAATACCACGACCTTTTAACACAGTTCCTCGTGATGTGGTGTCCTCCAACCATAACATGATTTTCGCTGCTACTTCGTTAATATGTGTTTTCCAATGGTCTTGGGCGACCCCTGGATAAGGCGTCGTTCGACCCAAAGGTTGAGAACCGCTGTAATAGACACTTTCACTTTCATCCGTTTGGAATGCTAACTCTAGCTACGCCACTGCCTGGAACCCTAACGCTAGCTACGCCTCTGCCTGGAACCCTAAAACTAGTTGCGCCATTTCGTGGAACCCCTAACACCAGCTGCGTCTCTGCACAAGCTACCACTACTGCTTGAAACCGCAACCCCCCCCCCCCCACCCACCACCCCCGAGGAATATCGGCGACAAGAGGAAACGCTGCGAGTACGCTATTCGAGGCCGTCCAACCATCCAGGCATAATGATCTGACAGCTTTCTTTGTGCATTGTTCATTTCCCGGTTGTACAATGCAACAGATTTTTTACAGGGCAGGTGAGACAACGGCATCCTGGTTGTTGTTTTTTTATTCTATGCCAGTGATCGAAAAATAGAGGAAACTTGTAGAATTGAAAATGTCCACTTCTAAAATGGGGCTTTCCAAAAGTGTTACGGTTTGAAAGTGTCTTATTGTAACGGTTTGATTGTGTCTTATTGTAACTGTTTGAAAGTGTCTTATTGTAACGGCTTGAAAGTGTCTTATTGTAACGGTTTGAAAGTGTCTTATTGTAACGGTTTGAAAGTGTCTAAATGTAACTGTTTGAAAGTGTCTTATTGTAACTGTTTGAAAGTGTCTTATTGTAACTGTTTGAAAGTGTCTTATTGTAACTGTTTGAAAGTGTGTCATTGTGACGGGGTCTTATTGCAACCGCTGGACGGCATGACAGTCAGATTGTGTGACAGAATGGAGGGAATTTATCGATTTCAACAGAAACCGCTTGTCTAATGATTTAATATTACACGTTTTCGATCGTCTTGAGTGTGTTCCTAGTTGCAGTCTAAGGACCACGGACCAAAGACCACGAACCAAGGGGTCGGACCAAGGACCACGGACCTAGGACCACGAACCAAGGACAACGGACCAAAAACCAAGGACCAAGGACCATGGACCAAGGATCACGGACCAAGGACGAAGGTCCATGGACCAACGACCAAGGACCATGGACCAAGGAACATGGACCTAGGACCACGAACCAAGGACCACGGACCAAGGACCACGGACCAAGGACCACGGACCAAGGACCACGGACCACGAACCAAGGACCACGGACCAAAAACCAAGGACCAAGGATCATGGACCAAGGACCAAGGACCATGGACCAAGGACCACGGACCAAAGACCAAGGACCAAGGACCACGGACCAACGACCACAGACCACGGACCAAGGACCACGGACCAAGGACCACGGACCAAGGACCACGAACCAAGGACCACGGACCAAGGACCAAGGACCACGGACCAAGGACCACGGACCAAGGACCACGGACCAAGGACCACGGACCAAGGACCACGGACCAAGGACCACGGACCAAGGACCACGGACCAAGGACCACGGACCAAGGACCACGGACCAAGGACCACGGACCAAGGACCACGGACCAAGGACCACGGACCAAGGACCACGGACCAAGGACCACGGACCAAGGACCACGGACCAAGGACCACGGACCAAGGACCACGGACCAAGGACCACGGACCAAGGACCACGGACCAAGGACCACGGACCAAGGACCACGGACCAAGGACCACGGACCAAGGACCACGGACCAAGGACCACGGACCAAGGACCACGGACCAAGGACCACGGACCAAGGACCACGGACCAAGGACCACGGACCAAGGACCACGGACCAAGGACCACGGACCAAGGACCACGGACCAAGGACCACGGACCAAGGACCACGGACCAAGGACCACGGACCAAGGACCACGGACCAAGGACCACGGACCAAGGACCAAGGACCAAGGACCAAGGACCACGGACCAAGGACCACGGACCAAGGACCACGGACCAAGGACCACGGACCAAGGACCACGGACCAAGGACCACGGACCAAGGACCACGGACTAAGGATCACGGACCAAGGACCACGGACCAAGGATCATGGACCAAGGACCACGGACCAAGGACCACGAAACAAGGACCAAGGACCACGGACAAAAGACCACGGACCAAGGACCACGAAACAAGGATCACGGACCAAGGACCAAGGACCAAGGACCACGGATGAAGGACCACGGACCAAGGACCAGTGAAAAAGGACCACTTCATTGGGGATATTCGATCCACAGGACAATGAAATAACTGTACCTGCCATTTTATTTAGCACACTCAACAAACACACACACACACGCGCGCAAGCACACACCACCACGCACACACTCAACCGCACACATAACCACACACACAACAAGTTCACACACACAACGAATCACACACACAATCCAAGTAAACAAAACCCATGTACACACACAACTACACACACAACTACACACACAACCAAAATACAACACACACACACACAGCACATACAAACACAATCATGCACACAACCACAACCACACACAACCACAAATACACAACAACGCACAAATGCACAATCCACATACACAAAGACCAGACATAAGTCATGTGTCTCATAACAACATATATTGCTTTTGAATCTATAATTAATCTTGATAATGCCTTTGGTGATGCGATGAAAACATTTCGACATGAGAAAATCAAACGTTTAGCATAAGAAGCACGATTCCAGAAAGACACACCGAACTTGCTTTCATTAGAACATTAAATTGGGGGAACCTCTGATATTTAAGCGACCCAATGTTGTCATGTGGAAGAAAAAAACAATTATCAACTTAGTATGGAAAAAAGCTTGGTTTTGGGGGGAGGAGGTGGGGGACGTTAGCGGCAACGAAGAGTGGGAGAACGCCTCAAAAGGTCCTCGCGATGGCTCTGGTGGTAATTAGAATTAAAATCATGCTTCAAGAATTCAACAGTCCTACATCAAACATACCTGCCCTACACCAAACATACCAGACCTACATCAAAATGCCTCAACCTACATTAAAAATACCTGACCTACACCAAAATGCCTCACCTACATTAAAATACCTGACCTACATCAAAATACCTGATCTACATCAAAATACTTCGCCTCCATCAAAATACATGACATACACCAAACATACCTGACCTAAATCAAAATACCTGACCTACATCGAAATACCTGACCTACATCGAAATACCTGACGCAATGGCTGACATAATAGTTTCGATAAGTGTTTCCCAAACTTTGTTGAGGCATGCCCCACCAAAGCCTCTCTAAAATTCGTATACCCCCCCCCCCCTCCCAACCAAGTATCATGTACATAATTTTATAATTTTTAATATTCAAAAAAGGGTTGTTCACTGAAGAAACTTAAATGATAGGTTTTCGCAAGAAATCCCTGGGAAATTGGTGAAGAAACATAGTCAGTAAGTTTTAAAAACATATAATGGAGATCTGAAATTCAAGTACGAAATAATTTTAATGAAAGATTTGTTTCTATTTTATTTTAATTATTGGCAATTATTTATTATTTAAATTTGGTCAGATGCTTGTGCTTGATGCTTGGTACCAAGAGATTTTTATGTTAGGTTCCAACTTAGTTAGCTTCAGTCTCAAGTCTCCCCGTCATGTTATAATCCAGCCGATTGGTGTGTGTGTATGTGTGCGTGTGTGTGTGCGTGCGTGTGTGTGTGTGTGTGTGTGCGTGTGTGTGCAACAAATCGTTTATGGCACTCAATCCACATTCAGAAAAATATGGCAACGGTAACAATAGCTTTCATGTACATTTTGGTTGAATTTCGAGATTTGATTTCCGTTTCCTGCACAAAGCCAAGCCGTCACTCCTTTTATAATTAATAAAGTTTTAACTGACTCATCATTTTGCATTTCTGCGAGTTCTTCTTGATACTGAATATTTGGAATAGACAAATCCACTCACATTGGTTGCATCGTCCAAGCTGGAAAATCAATTTGTTTCCAATCAGTAAATACTTCTTTAATATTAGCCGATAGAATTTCCAGATGATCGGCAATAACAAGTATAGCGGTATCAGACACTTCACATTTTGGAACCAATGAAACTTCTCACAATTTTTGTTTTAAATATTTTGCTGACATAATTCAATAAAGGTAATGGAACCAAATGTCGTCGCCTTTGCATCAACAATAGTTTTATTTGTTCCTTGAAGTTGATTATTTAATATAATAAGTTTTTCAAAGATGTCATCTAAATAACTCACAAGATCGATCGTTAACAGATACTTCATGTCACGTTGGTCACTTTGAAAAATCGCAAGAGTATCAAATAGTTTCATAAATCTTTTTCAAGCACTTACCCCTTTCTAAAGCCATCTTACTTCAGTGTGACGTAAAAGCCTCACATAGTCTGCTGCATTTTGGTCTTCAGAAAATAGCTTGAAGAGACGTTCACATTTGGTATTAGCTTTAATAGCATTGATACACTTTATAACTTAATTTAGTACTTTATTTACAACAGGCGAAATGTTTTTAGCTACCAAGTTTTCCCTATGAATAACACAATGCAAAGGTAGCATTTCTGGATTCTCAACTTTCATCAGTTTTAAGCAGCCATTTTTCTTGCCCATCATATTAGGAGCCCCATCTGCAGCACAAGATGGTATATTTTTCATTGGTACATTATTGACATCTAAGTAATTTTTTATCTCATTATATATATAATTTAGGCGGCAGTGGTGCTTTCTAATGATTTAAAGAAGAGCATTTCTCCAGCAAAATTTCATTTATCAATATATCTTACGTGAGTTATCACTATAGCCTCACTGCCTCTCGATGTTGATTTATCCATGTGCAATGAGAATCTCTTTGTTTTCCGCTTTTCAACAAGTTGTATTTCATTATCTTCACTCATTTCGTCTATTCTTCTGCCAACTGTATTGTTTCTGATTCTCACACCTTTCACTTCTTTGTCACTTTTTTTTCCCAGAACCATTTTAAGAAATGCTGATATTGATGGGTTTTTTTTAAATTCTCTCCTACATTATGATTTTATTTCAGATTTCCTATGGTTTGCAGTGGCAGTATGAGCAGTAAATAGAGACTTTAATTTTGCTCTTATTTCAAAATACAAGTTAAATCATAGTAGACGGTTGAAGTCTAGACAGCTCATTTTCCAATTGCCCCTTTAAAAAATCAAATGCCCCCCCCCCAACCCCTGTAGGGCGTGGGAGCCACGTTGTTAAACACCAGTTTAGATGTCTCGAAGCTAGATTCATCATACAGGGATTCATCTCCCTTTGCAGATCTAGTGTTTGGGTGAAATGTGGAATCATCTTACTAGCTCTGAGGACTCCTCACTAGAAGTAAACCATTTCAACCTGGATCACGTGACCCCTAATCGCTTACACAAAGACTGATCTTCTTACCATACAAATACACAACTCATTACTTTGTTTCACAAAAGGCTTCATATTTTTAGACTTCTATTTAGCCAATATACCCGGCTTTGCTCGGTATTTGTAGTTGGAAAAAAAACAAAAAAAAACAACCTCTAACGAAATTGTTTTAGATCTATCCATTTATTGTAAATTAATCTAAATAGTAGGTTGTTCAAGAAAAAAACAACTTTGGCCCATGGCATTACACGCTATTAAAAAAAAAAACTCAAACCCAGTCAGTATTTTCTCGTGGACAATGAAGTGTAACAACTATGGCTGCCACGTTTGATGAAGATCCATCAATTCAATGGAGAGACGTATGCGGTACAAACAACAATAACGAGAAATTATCACACTTTAACTAGGAGATATCTATTATACCATGAAGGTGCATGGATGAAGATTTGAAATCGTATTCAAAGAGATCTTTTTTTGTACACATAAGACTAATTAAAAATTCACCATGTACATGCTCGATGAATGTGATATTATATGCTTTTTTGGTTTGTTGTTCGTTGTCTTGCGCCGGTCCTCACTATAAAACTCTAGCGTCTTGATTGGATGTCAGGAATACAATTTTGACAGCAACTTATGTATGTGTCATTTAAGAAGCTTACACTGAACATGCAACATCGACATAGTTTGATATGCAAAGGGAAATAAACTATGGACACACATGATTCTGTGCGGGACAAATGATGCGTCTAAGAGAATGGTATCCTCATAAAAACGCACCCACCCACTCATTCAGTGACGTAGTTTTACTAAATGCTGATTACGGGCTAAATCACAAACTTTCCGTTCTCACCCCCCCCCCCACACACACACCCACCTCTACTATAAAAGCTGGTAAGGTGACATAAATATAAGCGCAGCCCAGTACTGGTAAGCCCCTGGGTTTGCCAGTGCACCCTTTATGCACTCCCTTGAACTGTGTGATAACTCTAATATAATGTTCAGACCTCTAATTCAACTCGAATGAACTTTTGTTCGCAAGCACCAACCAGGGCAAGGCGTTGGCCAAACAAATGCGCACCGAAAACTTTCTTTTCAAAGCACACCGAAAACTTTCTTTTCAAAGCGCACCGAAAACTTTCTTTTCAAAGCGCACCGAAAACTTTCTTTTCAAAGCGCACCGAAAACTTTCTTTTCAAAGCGCACTGAAACCGTTCTTTTGAAAGCGCACCGTTCTGAATAAACGGCTTATCAAAAATGTGTGCACCAAAAATTACTGAACCCGAACGTCCCTGGAAGTCATTTAAAAGCTAATTTTTCTTGTACTCTTTGCCCTCCACATTTTACCCTTTACCCTCTACATTTCACTCTTTACCCTCTACATTTTACCCTTTACCCAAAACATTTTACTTTTTACCCTTTACATGTTACCATTTTTTTTTAAAATTATACCTTTTGGGATCAAGGGATTATGACGACATTTTCCAGGAACCGTCCACAGATCAGAAGGAATGACCAGGTCAATTTTGATTTCAATCGATTGTTTGGTTTTCATTGTGATTGATCGAACAGATTTACAAACAAACAAACATAATCAACCTGGGTTTTATAGAGTAGTTATTTACTTGTTTTAAATGAAAAGAAACACACAAAAAAAAGATTTTGTAACAATAAATTTAAAAACAAAACAAGCACAGAATCTTTAGGGTACCCCACTTATCCCGCAGCATTGTCTAATTTTTGTTCTTGATTGTCACTTCACAGTGGATTCACGATACTCTCCGAATTAAAACAGTCTCCGGAAATACATCCAAAACGAAAGCGATGCTTATCCCTTTCCTATTTCATAGATACCCAATCATGCGGTGGCCATCTTCCTTATAGCATCATTGCAAGACTTGATCCAATTATTATCAAATAAGTTTTGATGATTTCCTCGAGTGGTCTGCTGCTGCATCTTTTCTAGCCATTCGTATTTTGGGGAAATTATGACATCGTGCGGAGCCAAGGTTCTCAATCAATAGGGACAATTTTTACCACATCATATGGACCGGAGGTTCTCAAACTATCAAGAAGATTATAAAATCGTGCGAACCCTAGGTTCTCAGGCAATAGAGACAATAATAAGCACATCAAGTTGACCGGGGAGCTCTCAAACGATCAAGAAAATTATAACCACATCATTTGGACCGGAGGTACTCAAACCAACAAAAAAATTATAGCATCGTGTGGACCCTTCGTTCTCAATCAATAGGGACAATTGTAACTACATCATGTGGACCCGGGGGGGGGGGAGGGGGGTTCTCAAACAATTTGGAGGACTGTAGCTACATCATGTAGATCGGAGGTTCTCAAAAAATATCTAGAGTTACAACTACACCCACGTGAACCAAAGGGGGGGGGGGCACTCAGGCAGTCCATAAAAATTATAACTACATCATGCAGCCCGCGGGTTTTCAGACCATCTGGCTGGAGGGTTCGGTGTTGGACTTGCAGTTGTGAAAAATCTGTATTAGATTTTTGCTGTTAAATCTTAGCTCTTATTTGAATTGAACTGTTCCTACAGTCAGGGAGCAGCTTTTGTTTTAAAATTAGTTTCGGTACTTCCTTCTCAGACTTCGGCGCTTCTACATATAATGTTGTTTTTTGGTGTGTACGTCTTTACATAGTTCTGGAGTGTGTGTACGTCTTTACATAGTTCTGGAGTGTGTGTACGTCTTTACATAGTTCTGGAGTGTGTGTACGTCTTTACATAGTTCTGGAGTGTGTGTACGTCTTTACATAGTTCTGGAGTGTGTGTACGTCTTTACATAGTTCTGGAGTCGCCACCAAAGAAGATCAGGGGGTTACCGCTGATGCCCGTCATTGATGGGAAGACAACTCGTTTTCCTTCACGACTGACCGATATTTTATTATGATTTAGTAGTTGGGACGGTCTCCCCCTTGTGTGTGTGTGTGTGTGTGTGTGTGTTTTGGGGGGGGGGGTTAAGACACTGGGTAATAAATAGTCCTCTCGTATGGATTTAGTCGCGTTAGAATTGTGTAACGTTTTACAACACCAGGAAATGTCGATGTGGGTTGGAGAGTTGCTTGAAGGTATTGGGTATTGTGTCGTACGTTTTATTCACCAGGCTGACCCAGAAAGCGATATAAGAAAGAAGAAGAAAAAAAAAGTGGAGATAATTTTAAGTTTAAGCTAGTATATATTTAGTCGATGTTTCAGAAACAAATCACAACCATGTGTTCGTTTATTAAGCCATCAAGAATTTAGGAGTAGAAATTTACGCCATTTTCTGCACATGCGTACACTCGTACACACAAACACGCGGATAGGCGCAAACACACACACTGAAACAAAGCTATGAAATCTATTGAAAAGTATATTTTAAATCTAATTCACTTAGTCCACCCATGACAAGGTTTACCACCAGTGACTAGGCCTACAACCAGTGACTAGGCCTACAACCAGTGGCTAGGCCTACAACCAGTGGCTAGGCCTACAACCAGTGGCTAGGCCTACAACCAGTGGCAAGGCCTACAACCAGTGGCAAGGCCTACAACCAGTGGCAAGGCCTACAACCAGTGGCAAGGCCTACAACCAGTGGGTAGGCCTACAACCAGTGGCTAGGCCTACAACCAGTGACTAGGCCTACAACCAGTGACTAGGCCTACAACCAGTGACTAGGCCTACAACCAGTGACAAGGTCTACAAACAAAGACAAGGCCTACAACCAGTGACAAGGTCTGCAACCCAATACAAGGCCAACAACCAGTGACAAGGTCTGCAACCGAATACAAGGCCTACAACCCGGGACAAGGTTTACAGCCCATGAAAAGGCCTACAACCAGTGACAAGGTCTACAACCGAATACAAGGCCTACAACCCGGAACAAGGTTTACAGCCCATGAAAAGGCCTACAACCAGTGACAAGGTCTACAACCGAATACAAGGCCTACAACCCGGAACAAGGTTTACAGCCCATGAAAATGCCTACAACCAGTGACAAGGTCTACAACCGAATACAAGGCCTACAATTCGGGACAAGGTTTACAGCCCATGAAAAGGCCTACAGCCAGTGACAAGGTCTACAACCGAATACAAGGCCTACAACCCGGGACAAGGTTTACAGCCCATGAAAAGGCCTACAACCAGTGACAAGGTCTACAACCGAATACAAGGCCTACAACTCGGGACAAGGTTTACAGCCCATGAAAAGGCCTACAACCAGTGACAAGGTCTACAACCGAATACAAGGCCTACAACCTAGGACAAGGTTTAGAGCCCATGAAAAGGCCTACAACCAGTGACAAGGTCTACAACCGAATACAAGGCCTACAACCCTGGACAAGGTTTACAGCCCATGAAAAGGCCTACAACCAGTGACAAGGTCTACAACCGAATACAAGGCCTACAACTCGGGACAAGGTTTACAGCCCATGAAAAGGCCTACAGCCAGTGACAAGGTCTACAACCGAATACAAGACCTACAACCTAGGACAAGGTTTAGAGCCCATGAAAAGGCCTACAACCAGTGACAAGGTCTACAACCGAATACAAGGACTACAACCCGGGACAAGGTTTACAGCCCATGAAAAGGCCTACAATAACATTAATTATATC